ATAAAAGGTTATCCAACTACAACATGTCATTACTGATGAATCCGGGTACAATCGAGAGATACCAACATTAAATTACTTTTTAAATGAACAAATTATGATATAGTAATCTTTGAAGACACAGTATAATTAGAGAGTCGATTCAAAGCATTCAGTTATGGCAATGTCTCGGAGTGTGCTATGGCAAGTCACTTGACTTTCAAACCAAGGGTCAACAAAGTTTTTAATTGCCGCAGAAACACTTTAACTGATATAACTATTATTATTATTATTATTATTATTATTATTATTATTATTATTTTTATTATTAGTAGTAGTAGTAGTAGTAGTAGTAGTAGAGTAGTAGTAGTAGTAGTAGTAGTAGTAGTAGCAGTAGTAGTAGTAGTAGTCGTAGTAGTAGTCGTAGTAGTAGTAGTAGTAGTTGTAGTAGTAGTCGTAGTATTAGTATTAGTATTATTAATATTATTATTATTAATATTAATATTTATTTTTATTGTGTTTTCTTTTAGCTAGTGACCCGGATGGTGATGTTGTCCGATGTCGTTGGGCAGACGACAGCCACAATGAGTGTCCACAAGCAATAAACGGTAATCAAGTATGTGGTCCTCTTTCACCTAATAGTTATCTAGATCAGGTGAGAACATTTGTAGAGGTCAGTGAGTGGCTTCTCATATTTTTTTTAATTAATTTCTACATTAGATAAAAATAATATTATGTAATTCCTATACAGAGTATCATGTCAAAGCTGTAATGAGCTTCACCTTAATTTCTGGAAGTTCACACTTTCCATCCTAAGAGTTGTCCTATTATGTTGCAGATAGTTAATCAGAATATTTACAAATAAACCTAAAAAGGCTCTTTCGTAAAATTTTCGATAAAAATAAACAAGATAGATTAAATCCCATAATCAAAGACACAAGCAATTTACCAGAGGAAGAATCGAACTTCTGACCAAACAACAACCAACGTACGGACCACACTCTCAAACATCTTGTATTGGGCTTTTGGTAACTCACGCCTTGTGTGTAGATTTACTTTTGTAAAACTTTATTTATAGAGGGTAACCCTTCCAGCTGTATCCGAAGGCCAGTTGATGTTCAGGGGCCCTCTTTAAAATTTAAATAAAATATATATAGGCCTATACAATTGAATTCAAACGTAGGCCTATAAAATTCTACACCAACAAGACAGAAATAATAAAGCATTTATATATATAAAAAAAAAAAAAAAAAAAAAAAAAAAAAAAAAAAAAAAAAAAAAAAAAAAAAAAAAAAAAAAAAAAAAAAAAAAAAAAAAAAAAAAAAAT